CATACAATCTCATTCATTCATAATCGATTCTTTTCACTTTGATTATAGATGAAAGAATAGAAAGATAAGAAACTTTATTTCGTTCCCTTAAAAAAGAAGGAATGACGTTTGAAATTGATCCAATTTCGCCAGTCACGAAATTAAAAGATCACTCGTTCGAATCGTGTTTGGAAATTTATCTGTTTCGAATATATCCGAGGCAATCGTGTTATATTTCAACAGCGTTACATAAACGGTGTAACATCGCCTTGGAGATATCCAAGGTAGGAAATCCGCTTGCAACGGAAAGGAAGGAAGAAACAACATCCGCTAACGATGCGGGTCGATAATTATCGGCCCCGCAATAAGTCGGCGGCGCGGAATTGATAATTGAACAGCGGCAAGATGGATAACGTACAATTTGCGCGGAGGTCTGAGGGCGTAAATTGCGTGGAAAACACGAGGCGAATAATAATAAATTCTGCAAAGCTCCTTCGCATGAAGATGAAAAATGGCGTCGAGAATCTTTCGATAGATAGATTTTAACGCAATTTTATATAAGAGGCCATCGAATATTCATTTTCCTTATCTTCTTCTTCTTTAATTTATCGATCGCGACAATCACGGTCGCTATAGAATGTTCGATCATTGGGAAAACGAAAGGTGTTCTCTTTCTTTTTGATACTCCTTAATGCGGTGGTGACTAGGATGAAACCACGGAAATTCATTGGAAAGAGAGCAATAATGATGACATTTATTAATATCGCTCTCGTCGTGAATGAAGCATTTTCACTACGAGCGTTCTTTCTTTTTATTATCTCTCGAGCTAGAAGTTAGAGTGATTATTAAAACTTAGAGACGAAAAATGAGAGATTACATTCTGTTGCCCTATCTTCTGACAATTAGACTTTTTACTCTGGCTGTAGGTAGTTAAAGCATAATAATATTTATCGATAATAAAGTTTCCTCGCGCGAGATATTGACGAGTTGGAGAAATCTCTCCCAAGGAAGTGTTAAAGTATCTACAAAATAGCCTTGTGTAGTAGTCCGGTCTCGAGACCAGAATCGTAAAGAATAAACGTGCGTGGGATTTAGGACACGTGAGGGGATGGAAGTTCAAAGATTATATTTTGCTTAGGAATAAGAATGGATTCTTTATTTAAAACATTATCGTTTTTTAAAACGTTGATCCTCAATTACGAGTTTCTCCCCTGACATCTGCCCTCAAGATAAAATACCTTTTTGCGAGAAACTTTTATCGTAATTCCTCTGAAGGGAAAAAATCAACAACGAAAATCAATATTTAAGTTTATAAGGGAAAGTGTAAGATATAAAATAATAATTCATATTCACAATTGATCAATAATTCCTCACAATCGGTCAATGATCCATGAAACCAACAACGAAGCGATAAAAAAAAAAAAAAAAAAGAAAAGCTTCAGCATACAACACTCTTATTATCTTCATCCATTTTATCTCCTTCTATCAAAAATACGAAATCAAATTATAGATTATAGATATATTCTCTCCTAATAATCTTAATAATTCTTCATCGATCGAAGACACAAAAAAAAAAAAATAAAGCTTCGAGTCGACATCATGTTCATCGTCCTCGCTTCGAGGGTTCTCAAAACAACGCGCACAAGATCAAAGACAGAGGAATAATAATAATAATAATAATAATAAAAAAAGGAATCGGTCCAATTTCTCGAGTTCTTCGTTTGAAAAAAAAGAAAAGAAAAGAAAAAAAAATAAAAGAAAAAAAGATAGGTGGCTCGTTGATCCCGTTTCCAAGCGTAACCAAGCTTGCAGCGGTCTATTGGCAGTCGTATCGTATCGAGATGGTTTCACGAGGCTTGTTTCGAGCGTCGGTTTGGCGTTAAAGAGCGGGATCGAGGCGGCCGCGTGCCAAAGCGTTATTTTTTATTGCACGTGGATCGGGTCAAGTGGTTACGATATCGTGAATCATGGCAAATAACGGAGTGACGAGTGGGGAAAACAACGTTACGACGCCGGCAATATCTTTTTAAAGCGAATCCCTCGAATCGAAGCTGTGCGGCAACAGCGAAACTGGCTTCAAGAATTATCGCGAAATTTACGAAATTTTTAAACGACCGCTCGTATTCTTTCTACGCGGGCAGAAAAATGATCGAGCTTTTCTCTCTTTTTTTTTTTTTCTTTTCTCTCGAGAATTTAATTTAATATAAGTAATTTTGCGATTCGAACTCGATCGAATCGAAACTATTATTTTTTCTAGAGTTATTTAGAGTTTGAGAGTGAGTGGTGATTTTGCTTGAAACGAATTGAAAGCATTTTTTCTTGAAGATTTGGTGAGATTATTTTTTTTTTTTTTTCTAGAGAATTCAGTCTTTGCTGTAGTAAATAATAATTTTGCTCGAAGGAAACACAGCATCGAATAGAAAATTATTTTTTTTTTTTTGGAAGATTTAATCTTTTTAAGTAGTAATTTTCTTGAAGTGAGGATGGTCGAAACTTATCGATGAGAATATTTTATCTGGAAGATTTAACCATTGCGAGTAATAATTTTGAATTGAAAGTATTTTTTCTGAAAGATTTAATCTTTGTAATTTTCTTGAAGTGAGGATGGTCGAAGCTTATCGATGAGAACATTTTTTTCCGAAAGATTTAATCGTTGTGAGTGTAATAATTTTGCGAACACGATCGAATTGAAAGTATTCTTTTCTGGAAGATTTAATTTTCGCGAACGAGTGATAATTTCCTTGAGGAACGCCGAAAAGTTCGAATCGGCGAGAATATTTTTTTCTGCAGGATTTAATCTTTGCGAGTAAGTAATAATTTTGCGAATGAAAATTATTTTTTCTCTACTTTTTCTAGGATTCGAATGTTTGTGACCGAGTAATCTTGAACCGAGAACGCTCAAGATCGAAGTTTATCGACGAGAGTACTGCAGTAAGCCGGTTGGTTATGCACCGACTATTGCTACTTGCGAATTCTCGAGGTATTGCGAGATAAGAATGTTAAATTGGTGGTTTACCACGAGTACATTGTATTGAAAATAAATACGTAAACAAAATTATAAAATTACTTCAATCTGATTTAGAATGCTCGAACGAACGTTTATTCATAGCCGCTATAATTGGCCCGTTCTTTCTATAACTTCGATCGTTTCGCGTTAGAATTAATTGTTATTCGAGCAACTTATCCTTAAGTTTATTCTTAACTTCAACGGTTAAAATTCTCTCCATTCCCACTCCGATCCATAACGATCGGATAGAAATTCTGCGAGAAAGATTTTCGCCAAGTTTCCTCGCTATTTCGAAATCTTGAAAAGTTACAAAACGGATTAATAATATAAACACGCGCGAATTCCATTGATAATAGACTCACAGTAACTCGTATTCATTTTCGGATCAGATTTTGATCATTTACGCATCTCGGCAATGAAATTGACAGGAAATCGATAAAATCGAGCCAAATCTTTCCAAATAAATATTCCTTCACCAGAGACTCTTGACTCTGTTGCTCGCTTTTCAAAATCGAGAACGGCTCTATCTATCCAAACTATATCCATTTCCCCGGCAATTTTCCCCAAGAATTGGCGCGAAACGAAATTTGCATCGAGCGAAAATTCTCCATCCTCGATCGAAAGATTTTGACACGTGGAGAACGAAGAGTAAGAGAGATAGAGAGTGGCAAAAATTCGCCCCAATGGATGCATCCTTTGTTCGGCCGATAAATCGAGGAGGAACGATGAGAATCGCAGGCCGGTTCGACGAGCCAACGCCAACGCCAATTAGGAAACCTATTAAATGGCACGACGCGTATTTTCCACGATTTGGCAACGAATCTTGATCGCGAGCTGAGGGAGCCACGATTCAAAAGGCAGGCAAATAACTTCCTTCTCTCCTTTTTCTCCACGATCGTAACTTCTCACCGAGTCGCTTTACCGTTCGCGACGCCATCGAGAAACAGCCTTCTTTCGTTTTTAACCCTTTCGCCACGAACGACTTCTGAACGAGTCGCATCAAAAATGGATGGAGGATCCGCGTCTTTGGCTATATCGGAGAATAAGGATTAGGGAAGGACACGAGTGGCAAAATTTGACCGAGAAATATCATTTTTCTCGTCGAACGATTCGATTTTTATATATCAAATTATCCTGAAAATATATGCTCATTCTTAACCATTTCGTTACGGACCACTTTTTCGCCGCGCCAAAAATATGCTCGAGAAAAGCAACATCTCTCTACAACTCGAGTTGCTTTGACGATGTTTAATTAAAAAAAAAAAAAATTGATGAAAAGATACTCGAATCGCTCGATACGCGCCTTCTTGTGCAAATTATAGTCGCCCGTAGCAGCGAAAGAGTTAAAAAGAATCGAGACGAGCAATCTAAGAATTTCCAGTGCTGCAGAAACGATTTCGAACGATGTTTTGCGTTCCAGCCTTGAAAATCGGCTGTCGAAACTGCTGGAAGAAGTGGTAGCGAAGATTTAAAGGCGGAAATTTTAATTCGAAAGGCGAGGATCGTTCGGGCGCATCGAGAAAGTTCGAGGAGGAATGGCGAGGACGAAAATCAGACGCGAGAAGAATCGGCGGAAGTATTGGGAGTCACAAGCGGTATCCATCCGGATCGAAACGATTGGGTAATCTTGCAATCCTGATTTACGCGATGAAATCTTGAATTTGGGCAAAAAGGAACTTGTTTGCACACGTAATAGTTTAGTGAAACTCGATCAGAGACTTTTAAGATTAGAATTTATAAACGGAGAATCTTTACATTACGATTTAGACTCTTCTTGTAGCATTGATAAATATCTAATAAAGCGCTGGTAATAATTGGAAACGAGCGAACACGTCGGATAGGCTTTCTCGAGTTTAATCATTATCTTATTAATTTTCACGCGAAAGATATTATTCGAAGAGTTTCTTATTCTTATGCTCGTCGATAAAAGAAAAAATAGAAATGCGCGATCGATTAATTGGCGACGATTAAAAAAAAGAAAAAGGAAGGTTGAAAGAAAGATCAGATTACTCACGTCTCCTTTTTCCGGAACGTACTTGGCCAACCAACCCCACAGGACGCCGAATCCGAGACCTCCAACGATGGCGATAGGTCCCTGCAGGATTTGATACCAGAGTATCGCGTTAGGAAAGAACATAATGCTCTGTATAATTCCGTGGACCGCCACCGATGCTGCGTCATCGATTCCAGACACGGCGATGATCAGAGTTGGGATGCCCTGGGAAAGGAAATCAATAATCGAGTGAGTGGCTCGACCCGGAACGATTATCGAAAGAAAGAAAAATGCACGCTCCATTTTCTTATATCTTACAATCTCGCTCAAACACTGATAAAGAGTATACCTTTCATACATTTCTTTCGCAATCGTGACGACTCGTCGATCTTTGCATCGTCGAAGCAATTGACAGACACAGAGCGGTGAAAATTTAATAAAGTTTGGAACGAGTTACCCGAATAATTTATCGTTCGAAACGGAATCGTAACAATCGGTAAATAACTAGCAGTGGCCAGAGTTATATATAGAGAAGCGGATCGACCACAATAGCCAAGTAATTAAATTCGAAGTAACTTTATTCGAAATTTTTAACTAGTTAAAAAAACTTTTCTTATTTTTTATACTACTCAACTGCGAGCGAACGTTTTTATTAACATTCTTCGTATCTATTCGTTCTTACGCAATTTCGACGCAAAGAATCGCGTTACGCAACGCGGTAGGCGCTTTAAACGAAATATCGTCGCAATAATCACGCGCAAAGATCGCGTCCCAGTGAAACCTCCCTCCCCCTGATAAAAGCTGTTCTTCAACCTGTTCGAGGAGATTTTTTTTTTTAAAGAGATTCTTAAAGAGATTCCTCAAACAAAAGATAAGAGAAGCGGGAGGGGAGAGGGAAGCAACGAAGAAAAGAATTATTAACCATCCTCTCTCGAGGAGTCGACGAACCGGACCGACAGGAATCCACGTACTTTTCCATCGATCCCCTCACGTTTCCCCTTATTTCCCCAAGCATTATTTCAACGCATTCGCGGCCAACCTCCTCGTTATCGCAATCTGATTCCCTTCGCGAAGTTACTTGAAAAAACCATTAAGGAGGTTGGGGAGGCGAGGTCAGTGAAAATAATCCGGCTTGATGGATGGAAAGGAGGGATGGAAGATGACGGGGAGGGATTAAAGGGAGGGCCGTTGAGGGAGAGAAGAGCGTGGATTCTTTTGGATCGAATCGCGCGGTTCCCTCGACAAACGTTTTCGGCCAGTCAGCGATTCGCTTTGTTTCACGCTTCCTTCCACTCCTCTTTCTTTCCCACTCTCCTCCCTCCCTTCGCGCCCTCATCGCTTCACCAGCAATCTCGTTCGATCGGTATTTGAGAAATTATTGTTGCAATTGTTGTTGCGTTTAATCTAACATTAATTACGGAAATTTACGGAAACAAACAGAATTGAGTGCCGTTTACGAGTGCGTTTCTTATCTCTTGTTTGTTTTTTTACCTCTTAATTATCGTTATTTAAACTTATTAATAGGAAGTTATTAATAATCGTAGATTAAATTGATTTGTTACGATTAGACCGTGGATTGTATGCAACATTTTAAGCCTAATTTTTTGAATATAAATCCTCCAAACTAAAAATCCTGTAAAAATTGAATGATCGTTAACAAGATTGGAGCGCATCTTTACTTTCGCGCAATGAGAATATTGTAACCTCTTGGTCGTCAAAAGGAAAGCCTGTTCCGGAGAAATTTTCTCTGGAAACACGGGTATTTAGAAATACGAGGGGGCAAAGGAAGGAAGGAAGGAAGGAAGGAGTTCGACGATTTCCATATCGAGCTACCACTTTCCCTCGAAAACGTTTCATCTTGATTCGTCGCGAGGAAACAACGGTACGTAAGAGGTCTCTTTGATCTTCGCGGGGGGGTAATGCGAATTACGCGGCACATTCTTGACAAAGCGTTCAATTTCTTCTCTTCCTCGCCGCAACCCCGTGAAATAACAAAAAACCTCCCCCTCCTCGTCTACATCTTTCAGCTCATGAATATCGCATTCCCAGCAATGGCCTTTGCACTCTTCAAACAGCTTCCACTCCATTTTCTAAACTGAATTATTTAAGCCCACCACCCACCGCTTCCTCTCTTTGCCTCCACCAACCTTCTTCTTCTCACCACTATTTTCCGACATTATCATTTTAAATAGGATTGCGTCTTCGAGGATAGGACCTCGCATTAGTTCGAAACTGCGGTTTCCAAGTTCGATCGTCAATTACCCTCTAATTGTTTCGACAAATCGTTTTGATTGAAATCGGAGGAATTGCGGTATAGTAAAACGAGTGCAGAGATTCGTACGGATATTTCTCGTTAGATCAATCGATAAAGATTTATTAAGAAATTTTCTAACTAAAATAAAATTCTAAAATTAAAGTTTATAGATCGATGATTGCAATTGGGATTCGAAAGTCTTTCGAAGGGAGGATAAAATTTTTAATCCTCTCGTTGTTGGGGCAGGGATTAAATCGATTTTAATATTCTAATATTTTTTTCTAAATCTCTTTTTTTATAATATTCGCGAGCCTCCAATATAATACGAGATAAAAAGTTTGCATGAAATTAGAATTTGCACAAATAATTCGATTCGATATGTGTCGAAATTTATCGGTTGACTTATTTTTCGATTCGTTTTTATTTTTACCCGCCTCTTTTTTCAAGAAAAGTAGGACACGTTTTCTTCGACAACCACTTTCCTATTTCTCGATCCGACAACTTATGCTAATTAATAGCTTAACGAAGGCTGTATAAAAGTAGTGACGGAATGGTAAAGATTAATCTACTTACTCGACACCTGGAAATGAATATTTGAACCAAGTTTGTGGAAAAAGCAACAAATACCGTCAATTTTAATTCGTCGATAATAATTCTTTCGTTTCCTTGTTAAATGGAACGAGCCTCGTTTATTTCCTCGCGTTCATTAAACAATTAATAACGTTCGAATATACACCACGTGACATTATTTCTCTCGCGCAGAAAAAAAGAAGACAGAGAGAGAGAGTTATTGTCGTTGCGAAACTTTAACGCTTTTTAAATATTTCCACGCCAACTTATTGCACTTACTTTCATTACGTTGATTGCTCCTTATATATATATATATATATATACACACACACACACACACGT